GTAGGGAGATGTTGCGACGGAGGACATTGATGGGAAATCATGCAGCTTCGAGTTTGAATCCTCATCGAGTTCCTCTACATACCAACATTTATCGTTAGCAAAATGTTTTCCAATGTTGTAGGCCTATATATATATATATCAAAGCTAGATTATATATATTTCCCTTTTTTCCCTCTATAGATGCATGTTTGATGAATTACAAATAAATTACTATATATTTGTTGTGACTTAATTATATCCTTTCATGGGCAGTTTACATATAGCCTTATAGGGCCTCCGTATCTAGTTATCCACACCAAAAAAAATGAGAAAAAGAAATAAAGAAACATATTTTCCAGAAACGATATATGCATTCACAAATAATTATTTAAAAATTATATGCATTCATATATGATATCTTATAGCATGCCAAAGTTTGTAGAATAATCCGTTATGTTTTTCATTAAACAAAGTAAAAATATAATAAGGTACTGAATCAAATAAAAAAGTTCATACTATTAATAGACATAAAACTAATGATATTATATATATGTGTGTATATAATAAATCATAAGATCGGAATTGTCTTTCTTCCGACAATCTTATGAGGATCTATTAGGAAGTACGAGAGAGAGAGAGAGAGAGAGAGAAATTAATAATGATATGAAGGATGAAGAAGAGTGGCGGTTAATGACGTACGAGGACGAAAGGTGAGGAGATGGCGGTGCCAGAGGGGAATAACGGAGGGGCGGGTGAGACCGGAGGCTAGCTCAGAGACGGCTCGGAAGAACTGAGAAGCACCGAAGCCATCGCAGACGGAGTGAGACAGCGCCATTCCTATCGTCATCCCTCCGCACGAGAAGCTCGTCACCTGCAGAGCCAGCGGCTCGTACCACCCACCACCACCCTCGTGACGTGGAACCAGCTCCTCCACGTCAGCCCCACTCCCCTCCAAGTGGTTCACGCTAGCCAGAGTGCATGCCGCTCTCGCCCTTATCAACGGCACGCCGTCTCCTTCGCTGCACCTAAGCTCGAGCCTCATGTCCTCTTTCCTCCTCCTGAGTTTTCCCGCCAGTGGGTAGTAGTAAACCAGCGCCTTTGACAGCGCCTTCTCCACCACCACGTATGCCGGCTCGGTGACGGCGTCGTTTTGGCTGTATACGTATATCGTTTTGGCTAGGGTTTCGATGTACGGATCGTTGTCGATGGTTGAAAGAGAGAGAGACGTGATGATTGGTGTCGGGGCCGAGGGTTTCACCAGAATGACGTCCGACTTCTCCACCACTATGGGACACAATCTGATCTCCTCGCTTCCCGTCTTCATTAATTTTCTTAAGATAATAATAAGATGCTGTTGAAATTTATATATGCTTAAATATGTGTGTGTGTGTATTTATATAGGTTTTGTTATGCATCGACTGCCGTTATGGGGGGGTATATATATATATACCCCCACACACACAATATGACAAATCATCAAGATTAAAAGAAGAAAAAACATTTTCACATACTTTTCCTAATTAGAAGTTTATAATACACCTTTGTAACATACCACAATAAAGTCCAAACGAGGTGGTCCGATGGTGTGGGAGCATAAAGTGTTCTCCCACACCCCGAATTCGAATATCACATATACAATCACCAATATAAAAAAAAACATACCACAGTAAAGATAAAATCAACGAAAATGTATACCGTATTATTTTTTTTATAATAGGTGTGGCATTTTAATTTCTACATTAAGTTTAGAATTAGCACATATTTGTCAAATAAATTGATTAAGAATAAACAATATATATATATATATATATATATCCATATAACATTCTATGTGCGTATATCCATGATACATTTGCGTAGTGGTATTAACGAGGATTATTTTAGTGGGGCGAGTTGGTGAGAGCTCACTTTGAAGATTGGAAACGGTGACTGCAAAGTCACCTCTTGTTTTTTTTTTTTAAAAAAATCCTAATCTAATCTCTTTCATGATTTCGGGATATATATATAGTGGCAATGCGCAAACTCTTTTCAACCAAATGTCTTCAAAATAAAGAATCCTTGGCAATGGCAGCTATGTGTACGTCAACGTGTTATAAATTTCTCTATTGACTTTTTTCTCCATGAGATTTTGCTCTTCATGACGCAGACACTTACACGTTTACTAAACCTAAATCTATATAATATTAGGGGTGGGCCAGGTTTTATGGGATGAGAAACCCGAGTTTCGGTTTCGGGTTCGAGTTTTGATATTTCATGACAGATTATTTCGTAGAGAGGTGTCAATTGTGGTCCGAGGCCTGAAGTCCGGCCCGGCCCAACCCGAAAAATAGTGGGCTTCGGGCCGAGATATTGAGGCCCGAAAATTTTTGGGCTTTCAGGTCGAGCTCGATTCGGGCTTCGGACTCGATTCGGGTCGGCCCGAAAAAGCTTGATTTTTTTATAAAAAAAATCTTGAGAAAAAAAGGAAAAAAATTATATTAACAAAGAAAATCGTGCGAGCCGGTCCGACCTGGCCCGACCCGATCTAAGCCCGAGGTCTATAGGGCCAGGCTTCGGGTTTGGTAGTATAGGCCCGAAAAAAATCGGGTCGGTCCAAACCCGAATCCGAAACCCTCGGGCCAAGTGCGGGCTCAGGTCGGGTCGGGCTGGGCTGGCCCGATTAACACGGTTAATGTAAAAAATTATAAAAATATATATCCTTGATTTTGTATTTATTTATCTAAATATCTAACCCTAATTGAATTAGACATTCTTTTTCTCTTTTCCTTTGGATGATATTGTAAATTTATATTCGAATTTATATATTTTGGATAACATTGGATCAAATTTGTATTATTTTTGTATGAAATATTTGTAACAATCGATTATACATGATCTATTTTTAATTTTGTGATTTAGCACTCACGAGTTCAGATATCGGGATACTCAATCTCTTATGTCGTGGGTACCGGATATTTAATTCGGGTGTTCGAATCTCATGAGACTGAGATCAAAACATTGTCCGACTCAAAGCGAGATCGAGTAGCCTAAAAAGCTTGGACACCCGCCTACGCTTAGACCTATATAATATATCATTATTTTTTTTGGGATAACAGGATATTCTGGAGTAACATCTAGACTAATCCTGGGGCTGGGTTCGGGAACTAGTGAGGTGAATTGGAATATACGCTTCTTCCCGAAATTTGAAGTTCGAACTCGGGATGGGACATACGCTACAATAAACCTAAAACTAGGTTTCTTGTTTGTTTACATGTGGAAAAGAAAAATTGCAAGAAACCGACGAAATATCTTTGAGCTCAAGAATAGCCGCAGATCCGCACCGAAGTTCAAACTTATTTTTTTTCCATGTGTATGTCCATTTTTTGAATCCATCCGTATTATCACGTTGACCAACGTTTTTCAGTTATACATACTAATCAACTTTGAAATTCATGTGTTTACATATGGGGCTTAGTAATCCATGAATTTTGCACACATTAATTAATTTGTGCAATATGTTTAATAAAACCATATATATATATATATGTATATTCTAGTCCATATATATATATATATGTGTGTGTGTGTGGGCCCAAAAAAAAAATCGAAAGGACCAAAGTTGGTATTCAAGAGAAAACACCGCAAACTATATATTCTTCTTTTAATGCAATTTTTTTTTTTGGCATTTTATCAAATCAATTCTGCTTCAAGTAATGTCTCTTATCTGTTGAAATAGAAACAAAATATGGAGATTGGATATGATTGATAAAAAAAATATTGAGATATACCGGATCTTGAAAAATATTACGAGTTATATCGTATATTAGAGATCTTATCAAATCCGGAAAATATATACTTAGAAATATTTATTATTATACATACTTTACTTATTCAATGTAAGACTTTCATCTATTTATATGTTATTTTGGTTATCAATAAAAATATTATTCCGCAAATTTATACATGGTATCAGTGCTTCTAATTTCTTTCTAATTTGTTGTTCTTTTCATAAAAATGATGATCGATAATGAAAGTGAAGATGAAGATGATGATATACCGATCTGTAATATCATTTCGAGTTTTTTATTAAGAATAAGAGTCATTTTTTTTATTTTTTTAAATTTTTTCTCATAATCCCACATGTTTCTAAAGATTATTCGCATAACCGTCAATCATCTTATTCTTGCCAAAAAATTTATTGTCATTAAACGCTTTCGCGTAATTGCCTTTCAATCTCGGATGAATCATAGTTATTCCCAAAACTTCTTTCTGTACCACGATTGTCGTCTTTTTTTTTGTTATCATCAAACGATTCTTTTGTGCGTGGTACCAAAGTTACAACACAATCGTTTGTTTGATTTTTTTTTTAGTTATGTCTTCTATCGACACAAGTTTGCAAAGTGATATGGTTCAAACGACATGCGTTTGATCATATTTTCTGCAAATTTGGTGTTTCGTGATCTCCACGCTCCAACTTGAAGGAGATGTTGAGATATACCGGATCTTGAAAAATATTAAGAGTTATATCGTATATTGGAGATCTTATCAAATCCAGAAAATATATATTTTGAAAAATTTATTATTATGCATACTTTATTTATTCAATGTAACACTCTCACCTATTTATATATTATTTTGGTTATCAACAAAAATATCATTCCGCAAATTTCAACGTTTAAATTTTTTTTAATTCCAAAAATGAAAAAAAAAACGCTTTTTGTTGATTTCTGTTATGGGTTTCCAGAATAAGTGGGGCAGAGGTCATCAATAGGTACGTTGAATATGTTGATGCAACTCGACATCGAGGGAAAGCGTTTGTGATTTAGAGAAAAAAAACCTTATCCAAGAGTGTTTGTGTCGAGGTGTCCTTAGCGTAATGACTTGATTAAATTATAATTTATAGTGACAAAGGGATATGATTAAATATTGAGAAATTGACTCATGAAAAATGTAAAGGTATATCATCACTCGAAATTCGATTGATATAGATAATTCAACATCTTCGTCCATTAAACAGAGACGAGGGATTCAAATCCTTCTTCGAAAATAGAGTTATCATTTAATCCAATTTTAATCGTTTAGTGTGCCGATCAATGAACAAATAAGAATTAGTATTAGTGTATAAGACTTAAATCTGTTAGTTAATAATTGAACGTCATTTATTACTGATTTATAAAAATATATATATATAAAAAAAAGCAAATTAAAAAAACGAATGATTAAACCAAACAAAAACAACAGACCGGCTAAACCAAAACTCAAGTGAAATTAAACCGAAATTGAAGAACCAGGCAAAACCAACAGCCCAACCGGAACACCATCCTTTCTGTAGGCCTTGTTTTGGGCCTTGTTTTGGGGCCTTTGTTTTGTTTGTATCTTCGTTTGTTCTCGCAAATCCTTACCCCTGGCCAGGCCAGGCATCGATTCGTATTTATCTAGTCCGGTTTATTCGGTTCCATTCTATATATGAATATCAAATAAGAATGCAAATTTGATATTTACACAAACATATCTAAATTATACAATGACAACAAACGGATATTTCGAATAAACATATCTAAATTAAATCATCGGATAGAACAGATTTTTTTTTTTTTTTTTTGGGTACGCACTAACTTAATTTCTCGGCTTTATAAAACCCCCGTCAAAGTTTTAGTAGTAACCTAAACCTTTAAACTATATGTTTCTAAATTTAAATATAGCAGAGTGTATGAAAAAAACTCCGTACAAAGTTACAAGTTCGGCATTACTAATTTACTACCATAAATTTAAAATAAATAAATAAATCATAAATAGAAACCAATACATGTACATATATATATATATATATATATGACAATCATCTACAGTTATCATCGTTTTGCAGCGGTGAAATGTGGGATATTGATTGGAATTAGGGAATGAGATGAGGTGGAGTGGGGTTCACGTCACAATGGTGGTGGCCAACCATGATTATGTGATCTCCCTCTCCCTCCATCCCTTTCTTTTTGGTCGAAGAAAATTCATTCACTTCAACTACGGATTCGGATTCAATTTTTTATCTCTTTTTTTTTTTTTTTTTGATACACCATGATTGTTGTGGATATGATTTGCTCGAAGCTTCCACAGCAAAGTTAGGTTCTCCTCCCTAAATTAATCCGCAAATCTTGGAGTTAATTAATTGTGGAGACAAATGAGCATGTCCCGAGAATTGTTTGATTACAAAAACTAAGGGGAAAAAAAAAGAAGTTAAAGCACAATCGAATGTACAATTTACTGGCAATGAGTCTACTAACAATGGGCTCAGGGCAGCTATATTGGATTCGGATTTTAAAATTTCAGATTTCGGATAAATAAATAGATTTAATGTAATCGGGTGATGATTAGATTAGATTTGGACAGTCTGCTTAGAGAAAGAAATATAATCTTGACATGGAAGCCACTCTGCTTTTACATGTGTTTTTTTTTTCTCAAGCTTTGAAACCTAATTGGATTTACTTATTCTCTGTCGTGGAAAAGAAAAAAGAAAAAGGAGGAGAAGAAGAGAATCCAGATGGTAATGGCGGTGGACCCCTAAATTCAACGCCCACTTTATTTGATCTTCAAAATCCGGAGGCCGGGAAAATGAGGGGGAAGTGAGAGTTCCAAGAGAATGGGGAATCACAAGTTCAGGATTTCAGACATGATGCCGAACTCATGGCTCTATAAGCTCAAAGGCATCAGGAAGAAGCTCCGCTCTTCTCCGTCGTCTCCCAATTTCAGACAACGTTCCCCTGAAGCTTCTTCCTCAAGAAACCCTCTTCCTCTCCCTCCCCGCAATGCCTCCATCAAGCGAAGAACCAGACGCAAAACCCTTTACAAGCCCTCTCCCAGGCTTAAACTCTCCTCCTCCTCCTCCTCCTCTCTCAAATCCAAGCCCTCCGAATCTGTTGTTTCAGCCGTCACAACCTCGTCCGAGCATGTTTCATCTTCCCCTGATCATGGATCGAGTTCTTGCGACATTGTCATCGACATGAAGTACGTTTCTGTCGAGGATAGCCGTGTTCCCGTCGGCTTTGGAAAGGAGGCACCTTTAGAGGCGAGGACACGGAAGAAGCCGACTTCCGGCAGTAGAAAATCGAACGCTGGAGCTTTGGGGATAAAGCTTCGGGTGAATTCTCCGAAGATCTCGAGGAAGAAATCGTCTCGGGTTTCTGCTTCGAACGAACAAAAGGGTCCGGAAAAGGAGAACAAGGGGATTGCAGAGAGTTTTGCGATGGTCCTAACTTCGGTGGATCCCGAGAGAGATTTCAGGCAATCGATGGTCGAGATGATCGTGGAGAATAACATCAGGGAACAAAAGGATCTGGAAGATCTTCTTGCCTGTTACCTCTCCCTGAACTCGAGCGAGTATCATCACGTCATCATCAACGCGTTCGAGAAAACATGGCTTCACTTGTCTAACTCGAGCTTGTAAATGTACCTTCGCATCTGCCAGTTCCTTATGCATAGTTCTACAATTTGAGTTCAAGACTCAGTCTTGTCTCTCTCCGAATCCTCGCGAAAGCCCAACTGGTTTTGCTTGTAACTTGTATTCTGAACTTGCTGAACAGAGTCGTGTTGGAAACATTTGTGTTTCTTTGAATGCAAATGTGGCTAGTGACCAAAAACTCCAACGTATATTCATTACTGGAAAACCATTGGTCAGCCCCGGACCGGCATCTCTTTTCCTTTCTTTTCTTTGGTTCGGCGGACTGTTTGGCTTTTCAGCGCCTAGTCCGGGTAGGACCGGATCTAAACCAACAGAGAGTATGCCGAATCTGTTTTTTTTTTCCGAGGTCGCGTCCCATTACGTACAAACCAAAATTCACAACACAACACCAAGCATGTTTACAAGACAAGAACCAGAATCCTACGCAGCTAACATTCTTTTGCTTATCAGCTTTGCAACATTTACGAGTTCAACCAAAGACAGCCAGTGCCTACCATAGAGCCAATGCCTACAGTTTTTCTTCATTCCAAAAGGAGAAAGCCCTAACCTGCTAAAACTTAAACGATGTGGCTGCAACACAACACGCCCTGCAGGAACAGAACAAATCAAACTATCAGACCCATCTGCGTATATCACTGATTCACGATTTTGGGCATTCACAATCTGATATGCTGGTTAACTCAGTGGGAGAATCCAAAGCCAAATACTCTAACTATAAACCAAACCAGGGTATAAAAGGATCATTACTCAGTGGCAGAACGCGATATAGACACAGTTTTCGTAGCAATCAGGCGGTACATTATCACCACATTAACCAGAAATCTCCAGATAAACCTATATAGAGAGTCTACAAGAGTAGGGTTACGCTTATCCAATATAGTTGCCAAAGAAAAATATAAGTTGGTGGAGGAAAATAAATACCTTCTTCTTTGTCAAGCAACTAAGTTCCTCCATTTATCCTTCAAATCAACCTAGCAAAGTTGTGTAGCCTAACGTCAATTTCACATCCTAGATAACAGTTTAAAAGTAAATAGTGCAAGTTTGAAGATTACTCACCGGAGTCCTATTCGCGAACAATTCGGGGTAAGCCTCCTTTATAGCTTTCCAGGATTTTCCATACCTACACAACGCAAATAATAATATATAACATCTCGACAAGCCAGTTCAAGTGTACTAGAACAGAACCCACGATGTAGCGCATGAACAAGATGTCACATACTCCTTCACGCCTTCCCTTAGGGTTTGTACTTCTTCACGAGTCCAACCTTTCCTCAGCCTTCTGTCAGCACTGCTTTGGGGTTTAGGCATTCGACCTTTCCTTAACGGGGATACACTGAATGATTTAATGTTTGGCAGATGAGGCCTAACTGTCCCGGACAATGTTCCTTCACTATCAGAAGCTCGCTCATTTACATTCTCCTGCAGAAATCATGAGAAGCGCAAAACATGATCCAAAGAAAGAGACAAACTTTTGGCAAGCAGCTTGTCAGAAAGGGCTCAAACACTCACGGGTTCTTTGTTGTAATCTTGACCTCTGACACCGGCCTGAAGACGTTGAGGGGTAACACTGGTAGAATGTTGTTCCGACGTCTGGTCGTCGTCAATCCCATCCCGGGTAAGGCCATTGATCAGCGCCTCTACCTCCAACAAATCCTCTTTCAGCTCCTGAGCCACTGAGGGTTTCCCCTTATTATCACTCTGCTCATGTTCCTGTTGACCAACATTGAATACAGACTGCCCATTCGTGTTATCGATGGGGTCATCCTCCAAATGCCCCGGGCATTGATGAGCATCATTAGGTCTCGGTGACGTTTCTCCGTTTCGAACATCATCCGGGTTCCGCTCCACATTTGTATCATTTCCCTTGTGTCGGAACCTCCTACTGGCTTCTAGTTCTAGATATGGAGAGCCCACGAGCACCCAGTGCTCTTTGACAAACTCACAAAGATAAGAGATAGCAAAGTACCTGGTATTAATCTGGCGAAGCCGCTGGTATAATTCGGAATCATCAATGGCATTCTTGAGGTTATAACCCCAGTCGATGAGCTCTTGAGTCACCAAGACGCTATCTCTTTCATTCAGAAGGCCGATTCTCAGGTCCCAGATCCTCTGCAGGGCTTCCCAGTAGAGAAAAGCTTCCACGGCGTCCACAGCCAACATATACCTAACCGTACATTCGGCAGCTGCCCAGCAGTAGGCAGACTTGAGGGACTCTAAAATTGCAGAACCTTCATGTAGTTGAAGCTTCTCGAACAGCTCGAGGAGGTCAAGGATTCGCTCGTCCACGATTCCCTGAATCAAGCGATTCCATATGTCACGAAGAACCGCCGATTTCTTGAGGGTGGTGCAGCCATCGTCCTCTTCCAGTCTCAGCGTTGACAACAGCCTCTTCCCGCAAACCCTAGGATTTTGTTGCCGACGGAGCACGAATTCGCATACCCACTTGTCGATGACTTTGTCGCCATCCGCATCCATTCCTTGGATCGAACCGATCTCCCCAAAGGTGGAATCTTTGCTTTAGCGCCAAATAAATCGCGGATGCGATTAGGGTTTCGAGTTTCAAACTCGAATCAGGGTGAAAGTGGAAAACGAAACGAAAACAATGCTGGGGGTTCTTGTAATTGGGCTTTATTGGTCATAATTAATTAATGGGCTTCTACGGCCCAATTGTAGTTGAAGAATCCTAATTGGAGATATTTCTTGTTTTATCATCCCTATCTGTGGGTGTGAGATTCGGCTGTTGATCCAAAAAACGGGGAAGATTTTTCAGGTTTTTTCTAAATAGATGCGATACGTTTACAGAATATATTTATTTTAGATGACTTTTTTAAAAAAATCCAATTTTATCATTGATTTTAATCGAGGATATATATAATTTATTTTTATAGTTTTTTTTTTAAGTGTGAAAAAATCTAAAATGACATGGATTGAGGGAGTATGTATTTATTGTTTGTTCTTATTAGGGCTGTCAAAATGGTGGGGCCGGACCCGGCCCGAGCCCCATAAAAACCTGAAGAATTACGGGCCGGGCCGGGTCGGCCCGAAATACACGCGGACTTAAAATCTTGGGTCCGAGACCCGATTCAATGGGCTTTTTTCGGGTTCGGACCGGGCTTCGAACTTTTTTTAAAAAAAAATAATAACAAAATAAAAATTAAAATTATTAATTAAAAATTATCAAAATAGAAAAAAAATTAATATATACTAAAGATAATAAAAAATAAAATTTTGATAAAAATATTTATTAATATATATGTGAATTTAAGAGAAATTAAAACTCAGATTTTCTAATTTTTATATAATAATAAAATTTATTTTAATATTAGTGAATTAATATGTATATATTTATACATGTATGTATATATATTTATCTATATCTATATACAGGGCCATGATGCTCTAGCCTATGCTATTTAGTAGGGGTGTCAAAATGGTCGGGCCGGGCCGGCCCGAGCCCGACAAAAACCCGAAGAATTACGGGCCGGCCCGGCCTGGCCCGAAACACACGCGAGCTGAAAATCTTGGGCCCGAGGCCTGGCCCAATGGGCTTTTTTCGGGTTCGGGCCGGGCTTCGGGCTTTTTCAAAAAATAATAATAACAAAATAAAAATAAAAATTATTAATAAAAATTTATCAAAATAGAAAAAAAAATAATATATACTAAAGATAATAAAAAATAAAGTTTTGATAAAAATATTTATTAATATATAAGTAATTTAAGAGAAATTAAAACTCAGATTTTTTAATTTTTATATAATAATAAAATTTATTTTAATATTAGTGAATTAATATATATATATTTATGCATGTATGTATATATATTTATCTATATCTATATATATTTATATTATATAATATATAATATATTTATTTTTTCGGGTCGACGGGTCGGGCAGGGTTAGCCCGGCCCGAGCCCGCATTTTGGTCCGCATTTTTCGGGTCGACCCGGCCCGACCCGATGAATGACCGGGCTTTAATTTCTTAAACCCAAGCCCGTAAATTTTACGGACGGGCTCGGGTCGGATAACGGGCCTCGGGCTTTTTTACACCCTAATTCTTATCAAGCAAACGTTTTTGAATATATTGAGGCAGATTTTCATAGGCAGAATCAACGATCAACATCTGGCACAAGGGTGCGTTTGATCTTAAGCCCTCGAAATCCTTAGCCATGGCGAGATGTCCTCCATTGAATGAGCTGGTTGACAAAATGGGTATTCGGAAAACTCAACCACAAGAACCAACCGTCATTACATGATGAGATTTGGGTGTCTCTTGGCTCATAAACAGTTGGCGCACGATCTACCAATTCATTTAGAGCATCCCGAATTTGAATTCTAAGCAAAGTGACATCCTCAGATTTTGGGCACACACTCTTTTCGACAACGGAAACAGCAAAACCAGGCCGCCATGTAAATGATCAGACAGGCAGTGTCTTGGGTTGATGATGATGGTGATGACCGGCAAATGCTCTGAGAAGGCTGATGTAGTCGTCTCTGTAAAGGTCCAGCGAGTGGCACAGCTGCCTTATCGCTTCCCTCTTCTCCTCCGCTCTCTCTTCTATCTGCTTCCTCTGCTCCTCCACCTTCTTCTCTGTCTCATCGATTTTACCGTCTCTCCACCTTACTTCTCTCTCAAGCCGACCCATCTCTTGCCCGAGTTTCTCTCCCTCGCTGACCAGACTCTCTATGCAGCCTTGTTTCGCTTCTATTTCCGCGTTCAACTCCTGGATCTCACCGATCAGCCTCTCCTCGGCTTCCCTCATCTCGGCGCTCATCCTTCTTATTTCATCTTCGAGATAGCGAACACGGGATTCTAGCTCTTTTATCTGCTCATTGTGGTGGTCTCTCTCCTCCAACAGTTTGGATATTTCAGCCTTTATCTGCGCCTTTTCTGGAAATATCTTCTCCTCTGCATCAGACACTGCCGTCTTTAAATCCCTGATCTCGTGGTCTCTTCTCGCCAAACTCGATTTTAACATCAAGATTCTGTCCTGCAGCTTCACCACTTCCCTTTTGTCTGCACTCGACTTGTTTCTCCACACCGCAGCTTCTTTCTGAGCTGACTCGAGCTGGTTTTGCAAGCCCTTGAGTTTCTGATCTGCAGACTTGTTTTTCTCAACTTCTTTTCTCAAATCGGCGTTTTCCTTCTCTGCATTCTGGAGCCTCACCCTCGCAACTCTCAGCTCTTGAGCCAAAGTTTCACCCGTGTTTTGAGAAGGAACCCCATCTTCACTAGGAGGGTCGTTACCGATCTCCGGTGTCATGAATCTGGTCAGCTGATTCTGCAACCTATCGATTTCCTCTTCAGAATTCTGTATCCTCTCGTTTGCATCTCTCAGCTCTTGCTCGTAAGCGGCAAGTTTGGCGGAAAGATCCTGACTTTTCATCCATGGCAGCGACAAGCTCTCAGCATTTCCTTGGTGTTGTTGCATCTTGAGTTTCTCTTTGGGCTCGATCTCCAGATCCATGGCCCTCCTGTTCGAAGCCGGGTAGTTGGTCACCGACGAATCATCGGATTCGAGTTCATAATCAGTAATAGAAGCCGAATCATCTCCTTCCTTGTGTGGATAAACGTCAGAGCCGAGGAAGAAGTCAAAGCCAGCAGCACGGCGACGGCCAATCCTTTGTCCGTTAGAGGTCCACAGGTCAGAAGAGATGTCAGAAAGATTGGAACCCTGGGACTGTAGGTCCGAAGTAGAGGGTCTTCTCAACTCTCCGGTGAAAATGTTGTCCGAGAGGGAGCGGTACATTCGATGAAACTCCTCGACGAGGCTTATCAGCTGAGGCCTCTTCTGGTAATACATCTCGACCTTCTTGGAAAGGGAATCTGCATCCTCCTCCTCGATCAGATTCAGCATCCGTTTCACGCTCGAGTCCAGCTCTGATCTCAAACAAAGATTATTATTTTTTTGTTATTCAAATTGAAAAAGGAAGAATCTTTCCCTGTCCTCTTCTTCGGCATTGTTTCCAGAAAAAAAAGGGGTATGGAATCTTAAAATTACCCTTTGGAACAAGAAAAGCAACCAAATTACGACAACCCATCCGACATGAACGAGGAAAGACATGATCAAGCTCACCTTCGAGGTTGCTCTCGAGCCACCTGGAATTTCTGGAACCCATATGAGAATCCCACCCCCATTGATTTGATCTCGTGGGCTCCGTCCGATTGAGGCTCTTTCTGGAAGGAACCTGAAAATCAAGAAAACTCAGCAACCGCACGCGATCTTCTGAAAGAGAATCGATCAAAGGAGCAAGCTTTTTGCGTCGAGTACCGAATCACTATCCATGGCTACGACCCCCGGATCCAGCGAGACCGAAACAGGAGCTCTAAACATAGAAAAGACAACGGACACGCGTTCAGATCATCCGATACGCAAATGCCGGACGGGTATTTTTTGTCTGACGCTGATTGAAAAAGGGCCAAAAAATTAGAATCTGGGAACAGAAAACTCTTACACAGAGACAGAGACGAAAGACAAGAGAGGCTCCCGAGGATTCGGGTCGATGTTCTGTAGAGGAAGATGCCCGCTTTTTGGTTTTGCATTAAAGTCAATGAATTTATACATGTGCTTTGTCCTTACTTTTCAACAGATATTTATATATGTATATATATATATTTATATTTCCCTTTTTTTTATATGATTTCCCACTCACATTCCACCAAGCAAGTTATTAGACCAGTCTTTGGAATAAAACGTGGCCAAGTGCTCTGTTTGACATTTATTATTATCCCATCAATTATTTATTTAATTTAAGACAACAATGTATATGAATATGTGGTTTTAGAGAAAGATTAATGATGGTGAAAGTACGAGATATCGAAAATTAATTAGTAAGAAAAAGATAAAAGTAAGTTTAGTATTCATGAGAAAATATTGATAAATAAGTAATTCTCTAACCAAAACAATTACAATTTTTTGAAAATATTATAAAAATACAGGTTATAATTGTTTCTAATAAAACTATTTAGATATCAGCAGTTATCCATTTTAAAAGTTATGTGATATAGATCCGAAGTTAGGTATTGAATGGTTAGATTTTTTTTTTGAATTTTGGAATCTAAAAATAAAAAAAAATCAAGTCAAGATTTTATATATTTATTTTTCCAAAAAATTCGATAAGTCATTTCGTTTTAAAAAAATAAAATAAAAATCATAGGTTTTGACTGGATTAAATTTTCCGAGTTTTTATAATCTTAAAAATAAAATAAAAATCTAGTCATGATTCTATTTATTTACTTTGGCTAAAAATGTAAACTATTTCATTAAAGAAATCAAAGAGTCACATTATTAGTTTTGTATTTTATTAATTTTATTTAATTAAATAGATATCTATAAAAATTTAATTCTAATGAGATTATAAAGATTTAATATTATATCAATTTTTATTGTGCAATATTTATTAATTAAATATTTTATTATTGGATTTCTAATACTAACTAAATTTCTTTTATTATTTTAAACTATATTTGTTGGATTATCATTAATTACATTTGTCAAATACCCTTATGTTTATCAAAAGTTAAACTCTATCGTCGAATCGTAAATTTTTTAAAAATATTTTAAAAAATATTCCATAGTCGAACTATTAATTCTATATTATGACCGACGAAAATATAAACATAAAATCTATTCATAATTCTATTTCGAAAAAATATAATATTATCCTATATTATATTTAAAAACTTCTCATTTACAAATATAAATTATAAAAATAAAATATATTATATTTAATTATAAAACAAACACTAATTTTTTTAAAAATTCAAATATAATTTTAGTCCACTCGATGCACGCGGATTATTACCGAGTCAAATAAAAACTAAAAGTCATTTTGTTTAGATTTTTACATAAAAATCTGAGTTTTTTAGTAGATTTTTTTTTTCATTTTCTAGTAAAAGTAATTATACAAAATATTTTAAAAACAAAAATACTCATTAATTTAAAACATGACTTACTTTGTTATTTTGACTTCAATGTATACCCTTCTCCAACTGTGACTCTATGATCCATATGACCAGAAATTTAATATTAATCATTTTGGTCATAACGTTAAATTTATGATGATCATACTCATTCATTATGTTCATATCTTCTATATCTCACTAATCATTTGATAAAAAATTTATAAATTCAATGTTATGACCAATATGGACAAGATTAAGTTTCTGGTCACATGGATCACATGGTCAGAGATGGAGAAATGTATGTCTTGAAGTAAAAATAGAAAATAGATGATATTTTTGATATAATGTCGTTTAAAACTCTATATCTATTTAATGATAAGATTTACCATTTTTATCGTAACTTATATCTTAAATTTTTTTATCAAAAAAAACTTTGGGGTATATAAAGAGAATTTTAGATGAAATTACAGTAACATTATAAAATTCTCTTGTTGAATTTTTTATTATTGTCATTACTACTATTAATAAATATGTTTTTTGTATTAATAAAAAAAAACTTTTTTGGTAATTTTTAAATGTAAAATATAAAAATAAGAAAACTAAATATTATTTCTACCATCAAGTTTTATAAAAACTGCAAAAACCAAAAATTAAAAATGAAAAGTTTAAAAACTAAAAATTAAAAAATAAAGCTAAAAATTCAAAATAAAAAACTCCATACATTCGAGTCTATAAACTCATTTTTTTGGATTTTAATATTTTATAAAAAAAAACTGTAAAATTATAAAAACCAAAAACTAAAGACAAAACCAAAAAAAAAATACCATCACCATTTAAATAAAAGCATTTGGATTCAGAATTAAATAAAAACGAGTAGACTAAATTGGTTATCGGCAGATAACCGGATCTTTGGGTCAACTTTGCCCAGCCCCTGATTATATCCATCTCTCACAGCATCTAGTGAATACGTTGACCAACAAGGACTCTGTGTCACGAGACATAACAGAAGCAAGGCAACTCTGGAAAAGCCATAGTCAATCGTCATGTCCAAACTCTAGGGGAAAAAAAAAACAGATTACAAATTCAGACAATAGAAAGAAAGAAAAAAAATCATGGGGAATCCTTGGGTTTGTTATTATCCTCGGAAGAGGGGCGGTTGTCAGAGTCAGAAAGGCGTATCTCTTCAATCATCCTGACCACTTGATCCATGTCGGGCCGCATGTCGGGGAGACGAGCCACGCATGCCATGGCGACCTGCAGCATCTGAACCATTTCCTCTTCAATGTTCTGGAACCTCATTAGCTCGACGTCGAATACCTCGCTCGTCCATTCCTCCCTCACCACGGACTGCACCCACCTCGGGAGATCGACCATGTCATCACGGCTCGGTGACTGGATCGGAGCTTTCCCCGTCAGCATCTCTAGCAAGAGTACCCCGAAACTGTACACGTCCGATTTATGAGTTTGTTTCCTCGTTTCCGTTACTTCGGGTGCCCTATACCCTGCAGCCCTCGTTGTCGGCATAGCCATTAGGGAGGTCAGTCCGGAATCCGAAATGCATCCATCGGTTTCCTGGTTAATCAGCACATTCGACGACTTTATATTTCCATGAGCGAATTTCGGCCCTCCAACGGCATGAAGGTGAGCAATGCCCTTTGCTGTCGCCAGCGAGATTTTTACTCTCGAGTCCCAATGGAGAGGCGTTCTCTCACCTCCTCGGCTACCTGTCCAACATATTGAAACTCTGTTCACAATTTTGGTAAAAGCAGGAGGTGCAAGAGATTGATTACTTACCATGAAGGAGACTGGACAAGTTTCCGGCAGGGTAATAGTCGTAGACCAGTAGCTTCTCGTCCTTGGAGTAATAATAGGCACGGAGGGGAACAACATTAGGGTGCTGCCCACATCTACCGATAGTCTCCATCTGCTGCTCGAACTCCCTCTTTCCGGCCGCCACTTCCTTCAACCTTTTTACCACTACGGTCGTGGACTCTTCTAAGACAGCCTTGTAGGTTGTCCCATAGCTACCCTTCCCCAGCACTTCTGCCGAAGCCCTCAGCAAGTCCTCGAGATCGAAATTATAGGAGCAGCCTTCGAAGAAAACCAGCTTATTTTTCTCAGGTTCTTGCACCCCGCTTCCAAATTCTTCCTTCGGTTTCTCAGCAGAGGCCTTGGGTTTTACAACAATGTCTCCCCTCTTGTCTTTTTTCTTGAATCGGCAACACAAGAGGATAAGAATCACCAAGACCAGCAGGAGGGCAGCTCCTCCAGCAGCTATAGCAATGATAGTCCCCAGATGTAATCCCCTTCTGGGAGCTTTTTTGCGGGGAAACACCGGTAATGGTGGAGGGGAAAAGGCCGGGACGCAAGGCTGCAGAGGCGGACCGCACAAAAGAGTGTTTCCAACAAAGGACGAGCTAGGAAATCCGCGGAGCGAAGAAGGTATAGAACCCATAAGATGATTGTAGCTCAAGTTTAGACGTTTTAGGCTGCCGCCGACATCAAGATCTGGAATTGGTCCAGAAAGGTTGTTACTTTGGAGGCTCAATCCCGTCAACTGGGTCAGATTCTGTAAAGCTGCTGCCGGGATCTTTCCCATGAATGAGTTGAAGGAGAGATCCAGGATATTAAGCCGTGGAGAAAACGAGGAAGGGATCTCACCGGAGAAGTTGTTGTGTTGGAGAAAGAGGTAATGGAGTGAAGGGATGGAGGGGATATCAGGAGGAAGATGACCGCTGAGGAGATTTGATCTCAAGCTGAGAACCCTTAGGGAGTCCAGTTTACCAAGCGTGTTTGGAGGGATTGGTCCCACGAGCCCGATCCCGGGAAGGCGGAGGGCAAGAACGCGCGCACCGTCGGGAGTGCAGGTGACACCGACCCACGATTTGCAGACATGGTTAGTGGAATTCCAGTTGAGCCTTCTACGATGAGGAACAGCGGCAACAAAGGCGAGAAGGGCTTGCTGATCCGAGACCAGGTCAGCAGCAGCCAGTGAGCTGAGTGTAAACAAGATTGACACAAGGAAGACGCTCCTCAAGGTATAGCCGAACTGGAGATAGAGCTGCATTCTCTCCCCTTCCTGCTTCAGAAAGAAAGGTGTTAGGCGGCTTCTGACTCACATCTCCATCCTGTCCGATGAGAACATCATTTGCAGAAGAAAAACAAAACCCCCACTAATTCAGTCCAAGAACAGACAAGCAACCTCATTTCCAGAAGACAAGGGAGATGCAAGACAATTCAAGATCCGATTAGTCACATCCATCGCCAAAGAAAGATGATGTTTTTCTTTCCCTTTGCAAATTCAAGAACAAATCTGACAGCGTGCCCTCTTTCTATCTTGTGTAAAAAGATGGGGAGAAATTAAACAAATCCAAAGGCAAAAAATAAAAGAGGAAGCATTTAGGCTTAAAGCAAAAGGAATAAAGCTAAAGAAACATCAAATTTTTTGAAGGCCCAGAAAAAAGAAACGGAATTCCTTTTTCCCCTGAAAGCAGAAGCTAAAAAGGATAATGCAAACCCTCATGGGGACAATAACGAGGGCAGAAGGGGTTGAGTGTGGGAGTTGTTGAACAAACATCGTCGTATATCCAGGGAGTTGGAAAAGCAATCCAACAGAAGGCAGCATTTTCTTACCCACGATCTCAATGGAGAGAGAATTCCCCGGAACTGAGAGAAAATCAAGAATCGAGAGCAGGAACCGGCAATGGAGGAAAAAGGGAGGCGGACGGCTTCTTCATCCTATCCTCGAATTAATTCTGGGTCCTTTCCTAAAGACAGACATTGAGGAAGGAGGAGTAAGACAAAGGAGAGAGAGCGTGTGACCGCATGCGTGCGAGACCAGAGAAGGAGTGGATGACGCCTGTCTGAGTCTGATGTGTGAGAAAGAGGGGGGGAGTGTGCGTTTATTGCTGAAACGGGCGTTAAGAGTGGCGACCCTTGTTGACCCATTATGGTTTTACGCTTTCTTTATAAAAACACGTCAGTACAGTATGAAAAATACTTCCATTATGCCTAATTGAACCAAATCCGGGGGAGGGGGGAAAATAGGCAAAAGAAAGAATCATTAGATGCACCCAACCACTCTCCCCTTCCTCTGCATCATCAAATGGGTCATCCTCCAACCACTCCGAACCGATACTGACATTGATGTGAGATTTACTTTGCCATTCAAATTAAGGAAACGTTTGAACGGTTAAACCGAATTGATTTGAATTCTAAGAACCAATTGATCTTGATTCTCTACAAACCCAAAAACTGCATCCAAACCGAATCTAACTCGATATAAATAGTTATGATTTTTCTAAAATTGAAATAACCGTACTGAACCCAACCCAGATAACGTCAATTCGTACATGGGATGGGAGGCTCAAGCTCTCACTCAAAACATTAACAACACCTAAAGAAATTAGATCTGTTTCCTCCTCGGACTTTCACGCTTGGCCATAAACATAGCTTACAAACTGAGACATCGCCTGAAATCCAACTCTTCACTTGTAGAACTCGAAGTCTGTGTCTGGCTTCTTAACGTTGGAACGGTAACCCTTCTCGAAATCCTTTGGCAGTATCACATACCTGTTTTTACGCACCGCATGCATCCCGGCTTCTTGGCATATAGCTGCTATCTGCATCAATGCCATACCCATACCCACAGGTGGTTAGATATCTAGACACATAGCAGACTAGCTCTTTCAACCATCATTAGTTGTTATGTTGATATTCTACATCAGTCTACTGCTCTCTCGTGCCACAATTCTCTAAACAGAGAAGACAATTTTCCATCCACATAGTCCCAAAATGAAAGCTCTTATTGCAAAAGTTGGCACCTTTTGAGTGAACTGGTGGTGTATAAAGAGCTCACTCTTAGCAAACAAAACAACTATCTGAGAGTATTCTCGTATAAACAAGAGAAAACCTAAAGATTGGCCCCAGTTGTTAACCCACAAATCTATTTTCACTGGAGGCTGCCCAAAGAGAAAACATGCTTAGGTGGGTATCAACAAGCAAGATGCACTAACCTCGGCAGCACTGATTTTATCAGGCCTGGAAACGTAGTCCTCCAGGTCAACCTCATCACTCAGGTTCATTTTCGAGGTGCATACCTACATTGATTGACAAACCAGTTAGGACGATAGAAGCTGCAAGGAACCAAAATCTGCAAGTCCAGCCAAAAGAGAACTTGCCTGGAAAACAAGCCTTTTTTGGCGTCTATCAGGCAGGGGGAACTCAATCTTACGATCAAGCCTCCCCGGACGCAGGAGGGCAGGATCCAGTGTGTCTGCTCTATTGGTTGCCATTATGACCTTGACATTCACTGTCTGATCAAATCCATCCATCTACACCGGATTGAACAAAATAAGGTATATATATTAAGAACTAAGACAGGGAACCGACATTTGGGCACCAGAGATTCACAAACTCGAGTTAAACTTATTCATTTCCCCAGTCACCTGATTCAATAGTTCCATGAGGATCCGCTGAACTTCTCTATCAGCTCCCGTTTGAGCATCAAACCTAGCTGTAGCAATAGCATCAACCTCATCGATGAAGATGATAGCTGGGGCATTCTCCTTAGCAAGACGAAAGACATCACGGACCATCCGAGGTCCCTGCAAGAGACAGATTTTTTACCTTTAAACTGTTCCTATATCGACAAAATCCCAGACCAAAGATAATGAATCCTCCATGGAGAAAAACATTTACATTCTCAATCTTAAACAGGCAAGGAAACTACGACGCATACCTCACCCAGATACTTCTGAACAAACTCAGAACCAACAACCCTAATGAAGGCAGCTGTAGTATGGTTAGCAACAGCTTTGGCCAACATAGTCTTTCCAGTGCCAGGGGGTCCAAAGAGCAAGACACCACGAGGAGGGTCGATGCCAATTTGTTTGTACAATTCGTGATGAGTAAGAGGTAATTCGACTGCCTCGCGAATTTCCTGTTTTTGGATGTCGCATCCTCCAATATCCTACAGAGAGAATAAGCCAGAAAAAGATCAGTATTTTGGGTACCTGGGGTTGATTGGTAGGAACGCACAAACATGGAAAACCCTAGAAATTGCAAGCCTGATAATTTGGGAAGAGAATACATTGTAGGTGACGTCAGGCTTCTCGGATTGGCTGAGAAGGGAAATGCTTGAATCGGCTTCAGGGGGTAAGACATCAACTAGGGCGTTGGAGTGGCGGTGAAGAGCAACGGAAGCGGCGGGCTTGAGGAGTTCTCTGTTGATGGTGCTGAGAATCCTGACGTAGTAATTGGAACCAGTGGTGGATCCGACGATTCCGTTGTTCTGATCCACCATCTCCATGAACTGACCGATCACCAGCGGCACCGATTGGATCCGTTTTACCTCTTCCTGAGCGCGAAGCAGCTCTCGCTTCAGGTTCTTCTGCTCGTCTTTCACATACTCCTCTTGAATATCGATGAACTCGAGCTGCCGCTGAAGCGATTTCAACCGGCTGTACAGATCCTCTTCCTCCGCCGCGTTCAGATCCAAACCAACCGGAGAAGCTTTAGAGCCTACCATCATCGCCACCGTCGCCATTGCTCGAGAAGTTTGGTTCTTGGAGTGGGATGGAAGAAATCAACAAATAAAGGGATGAACTACACCGACTCGACATACATTTTGGGCCTATAAGCCCAATTTAAGTTAAAGTACTCGAAGTGCTGAGTCGGTTGACGAAAAAAATATAATATTTTTTATTTATACTATAAAAATTTTATTTATACCGTAAAAATACTAAATAAATGATATTTTAATATAAAATTTAAATGTTAAACATAACTATATACAGAAAAAAAAATTATATATATATATATATATATCTAATAAAAAATTATATTAAATGAATTAGAAACAAACCAATTCGCGAATTATGCTCATTTTGACAACTAAGAGATGTTTCCAAAATGGTTGGATTACGAGGTTAATAACCTTGTTTAAGGGAAAAAAAAAAAGAAATATCATGGAACGCAAATGCAAGTATGGTTTATTGTGGGTTGTATAGTACAATACGAAGGAGAAATAAAGAAAGACAGATAAACAGAATTGGATGATGTGCCATTTATTACGGGGGAAAAATGTGGGGAAAGAAGAAAATGTTAGAGATGATCATAAGCTCCTCTCGATGAAGTCCCAAATCATGTGTTCCATATAGATCCGATCCTTCAACTTCCGGGGCATGTGGCGTTCGTCCGGAAATACCAGCAACTCGTAACGCTTCCCGGCTTCCACGAGCGCGTTCACGAGCCTAGCCGTGTGCCTGAAGTGCACGTTCTCGTCGATCATCCCGTGCACCAGAAGCAACCTTTGCCCGTCCACCAAGTTCCCCACATGTTCCATCACTGAGCTCTTGACGTACCTCTCGGGGTCCTCCGAGGGAAGACCCATGTACTTCTCTGTGTAGAAAGTGTCGTACCCGTCCCAGGACGTGACGGGCGCCCCCGAGATGGCGCACCGGAAAATCTCAGGGTAACGGGTCAAGAGCATGGCCGAGAGGTACCCGCCATAGCTCCACCCGTATACTCCAATGTTCTCCGGTTTAGCCAGGCCTTGCTCGATGAGCCACTTGGCTCCAGCTACTTGATCCTCTGAATCAACATACCCGCAGTTATGCTTGATCGATGACTCGAACTTGAGTCCCCGCCTCGACGCTCCTCTGTTATCTACCTGCGAAAAAACAACACTTCAAAGTCCCATCATTTTCAGAAATATTGAGAAAGTAAACTAAACGAACCTTCCATACTAAGATGCCTCTACTTCTTAGGTACTGCGTCCTCATGTCGACGGTGTTTATCCATGAATTGCTGACCAACTGAACCCCGGGTCCTCCGTAAACGTTGATCATCGTTTTGTATGGGGGAGGACCGAATCTCGAAGCGTCAGGCTTATAAAGCGCCCCATAGAGCGTTGTCCCGTCGCTTGCCTGTATTTGAACAATCTCTGGTGGCTCAACTTTAAGGGTTTCGAGTATAGGTATGGGCACTTTCGACTCGTAAAGAGTCTTGAGAACGGTTCCATCATGCAGGGAGCAAAGGGAAACCCGAGGAGGGGAATCGACCGAATCATAAATGTCGATGAAATTTTTCATTTGGTGATCAAGCAGGACCACATGTTTGCCTTTACCATGGGTTAACCTTATAGGTTCACACAGAGCTGTGTCTAGGGTCTCCCCCGGTTCCAGTTTCGTGCAGTATAAATTGCTTTCGAGTGGCCCGTCCATAGTTGCTGTGAAGTACACCAAACCCATCGATTCATTGATGCCCATGAGTTGCTCAACCATCCATTCACCTCTGGTAATGGCTCGGAGGCAGGTTCCGTCAGAATCATGCAGATACAAGTGTCTGAATCCAGTTTTCTCACTAGCCCAGATGAATCCCCCAGGTCGTTTGGAAGGAGCTTTCTCTAGAGGGGTAAAACAGTCGTGCAAAGTCACCCACACATCGGATTCTTCCGTAAACAGCAAATCACGTTGTCCCGTCTTTATGTCGAACTTGAGGATCTTCAGCTTAGTATGTGACCTGTTCAGAACCTGAGAAATGAGAATGTTTCCGGACATCCAATTGACTCTAGCCAGGTACTCTTCCTCTCTATTGGTACCTCCGCTGTTAAGATCCATCCATGTTGTGTGTCCTCCAGCTGAGGAAACCACCCCAAGACGCACACTTACATTGAGAGCTCCAGCAAAAGGGTATGGGTGATCTTCTTGTGCGTCTGAACCAACCGAGCTTTTGCCTTGGTGCATAATTCTAAACAATGGAATTTCCGAGAAGTTTATTTGCGTGTACGCAATGAAGTTGCTATCTGGTGACCACCAGTACCCATTCCTTCGATCCATCTCCTCCTGATTTAAAAAAATGTCATGGATTTTAGACTAGACGTAAATTTTGCTGGTGATCTGTCTAGTGCATATGGTATCTCATCCATATCCGCGATGACAACAAGGTACTTTTACGTAGACGATATGCCCATTTCTTAACCTCCATTCCCACTAGAATAAAACAAAAGCACAAACTAAATGGAAACTTTTGGAGATTGGATTTTCTCACCTGAGCTATGTATTCAGCGAGACCATGAGTCTGGAGCAACATGAAAAACGCGAATGGTTAATACTTGAACAAATATATTCGTACAGATGAATAGACCATTAAAGATCCAAAGCAATAATCGTATAAAACATTGAAAAGACAAAAAGAAAATTGTTCTGTAAGTTCATGAATTGAAAATCATACAGATTGACTTACAACAGTACTTCCATTGGCACCATCTGTCAACTGTTGTGATTTGTTGTTTGAGAGACTAAGAACGTGCAGCTCAGAGTCTCTCACGTAAGCAAGCATTAAGCCGTTAGGAGAAAGACGGGGATCGATGATTGGGGAGGTGGGTAAACTCGGGAGTACAAGCTCGGGATTCAGTGAGGAAAGGTCCTGCAAATAAACCTACCACAGCCACATATGCGGAAAACAAAACCCAAGCCCAGTGACTTATCAGAAAATCTATACCGATAAAGTTTAAAAAGTGAAAAAAGATCAATCATGCAAACATGTACAAGCCAAAGAGACCCTTCTATGTTCGAGGTTTCTTTTACATTTTCTTGCTAATTAAACAGGTAACTAATCAAATTAAGGAATGTTGAGAAGAAAACTAGCCATTAGATTCAATAAACACAACACAACTTCAACTTTTTGTCATGTATTTTAAATCTCAAGTTTCTAGTACTTAAAACATACACTAAGTCCAAAAAGTGGAAAAGGATCAAAGAAAAACGAATTGGAGAAACAACAAAAGAACCCAGTCCAAGGCTCCCGTTGAATTTCCTCTTAACCTAACAAGGTCTTTGAGAATCCGACTGTTCCAAGGAAAAATATCAAATGCACGCAAAATTCTCCAGCTTTCTCGTTTAGAAGTCGAAGATCCAACCAAAAAAACGTTATCCTAAAAAAATAAAAGATTTAAGAGTTAAAGAACGAACCCCAGATGGTAAAGGCACCACAATCAATTGCTTCTTCGAGTTTGTCTTAACCCATTCATAACGGGTCACTCCTAATCCACGCTCCCGCGACCTCTCCCTTCTCAACTTTTCTTCCTGTGTTATGTTGCCCTCATCGACTCCACCATTGGGAGGACTGAAAGCCAACCTGGATTCTCCATTCTTCACATCAAACACATACACATTCCTGTTCAATGTCTGTTCAGGGCTGAACAGACAGCCTACGCAAGTGTCGTCAGGGCTAAAGCTAATAGATGCCGGGGCCACGTATCCGGGCAATGGCGTCAGAACAATCGCCTCAACTGGAAAATGGACGTCACTGTCCGGAACATGCGACACAGTTGAATCGATCAGGGACATATCCGCCACGAAGGAAGCGTTTTTCTCCGTTCTCGGATTATCGGAAAGTATTTTGTCCGTTCAGTGTCACGATGAATAAGATCTATAGCCAACAAGCTGCAAAAAGATTATTCGGAAAAAGAAAAATTTCAGCGGAAGAGAACTGAAATCGAACAACAATAGGGCAAATACCTAATTTATGGTTGATTCAAGGACTAAACCCTAATCAAATCTACCCATATTTTCCTTCAATTTTTTTTCTCAAACCCAGAAAATCTTCCATGATGAAAATTAACAGGAATGCGATAAAATCCTAGGATCAGATCATCGGGCATCACAACCAAAGTAATATCCCAGGAAGACAAATGCATGATTCAGTTAACTGCCCGAGAGAAAGACATGGATTAAACAAAACCATACATTGATTTCAATCATCCAAAACTGAGGAAAATCTCACTTACACGGTCAGATCGGAGATGGAACGGCGCATAAGACGAGAAAGCGAGAGGAGGCAACCGTTTGATAAGGATAAGGATAATCCAAAATCGAAGTAATTACTCGAAATCAGCAGATTCTGGTAGATTCCGATGCAATGTCACAGAGAGAGAGAGAGAGAGAGAGAGAGAGAGAGAGAGAGAGAGAGAGAGAGAGGGAGAGGGGGAGAGAGAGAGAGAGACTGTTGTTACCCAATTATTTGTAAAGTTCAAGTCTATACGAGATCCAAAAGAAATCATAATTATGACCACCAAAAGATTACAAAACATTCCAAAAAAAAAACAAAAGATTACAAAAATCTGAAAACGGGACATGCTAATAATTTGAGGATGATCCTTTTCCTTTAATATAAAATATCGAATTCAGATCAAATTCAATGTTACCTAATCATATCTTATGACGAAACTCGATTTAAATATAGATTAAATATGTTTTTTAAGCAAAATAAATCGAATTTGAATGGAATCGCGATCGAATATAAACATAATGGAAAAAAGTTGAAAAGAACGAAAATCCATTTGTAAAATGAGTATTGTTCTAGGTGAAAATTAGATTCAAATAGAACGTGGAACCAAGTTAAATCCAAAAAAAATTGAATTGATACAACTTCTTAAAATAAAATAAAAATCACCAAATCAACGGCGGAAATGCAAGAAACCTAGTAATAACACACACACACATATATATATATATATATATATATCAAATGATAGTGAGCCAGATTTGGATACGATTTTTATTGATGAATTTGACAAAGGCCATCTAATATATATATATATATATATATATATATATATATATATATAATTTTAATTTTAATTTTGAAATAGCAAAACTTGAGATAGGGCAAAGTCATGTTCTTGATGGGAGATGGGTTCTTTGATACAAATTCCGTCCATTGTTCGATCACCCTTTAATATACCATCCGAATTTGATTACAATATATACATATATGATTAATGATAAGTTTTGTTACGTTATCTTATTCACAATTAATTCATATTACATATCCCAAAAAGACCAATTCAGATTCATGAGTCATTACCATTTCTTTCTTACGTAAATCTAAAAAAAAAAAAATTATCGAATTTTGAAATAACCTATACATTAATACTAACCTTTTTGAATTTTTAGATTAAATATAAATTCATCGATTTTGATTTAAAAAAACACTCAATTTATGTTATAAGACGTTAAAAAAAAATAATGGACAATCTGATGTTGCATTGACAGTTTACAAGTGATCCGTCATCTGAGATGAAAATTAACTAAAAAATTAAATAATTATAATTAAATAAAAATAATTATAATATAATAAAAAAAATAATTGAAAAATAAAAAATTACAATATATATATATATGTATTAAAAATAAAATGATTATAATTACATAAAAAAAATTAAAATAACAATATAACGATGTTTTGTTTTCTTCCGAATCAACAATAAAGTATAAAAAAAATAAAAATGTGACGGACGTACTTTTCGATGAATCTTCTTCGTCTTAGATCGTATAATTTGAAAACAACTACAAAAATAAAAACTCAAAAAGTTTCAAAGGTGGATTAAAAAGAACATTGAATTCCAGCTCATACGACGTTTTTCAAACAATGTTAGAGTTTATGGTCAAACGGAACTCGCATGTCACATGTGAGTTTTTGGTAGATACACACACATAAAATATAAAACCTAAAAATTATTTATTTTATAAATTGAATTATGGGTATTAAATAAAATTTGAATTATAAAAATGTGTAGTTTTTACATCTTTTTTTTTTATCTTTTTATCAAAATACTTTAGTATTTCTTTTTAACAAATATACCATCTAATAAATACTTCTCATTTGATGGTACCTACTACCTAGTGGAGATATTAGCGAACCTGAAAAAAAATTATAACAAGGAAATTTAATTTTACTATGTCACAAACATAACTGTATCATGGGATATTTATAAAATTTGGTTAAAATATTATAAATTTTATGAAAAAAAATATTTTTTCAATCAAACAAATGGATATATATGTTTCTATTCATATCCAATTGGGTACACCCACATAGAGAATGTTTAACGAAAAATATGGAGATATTTTAGATGAGTCATAAAAACATTATTGAAACTATTTTTAATTTTTTTTTATTAATGATTTTGGTTCTTTTACGTTCTGAAATTTTTTGTTAGAATTAATCAAATATAATATTTATCGAACTATTTCTAAAATACTATATATTAGATGTTATTATATTTTAAAGGGAAAATGGCAAATAAATACATCAATTTGTCTAAAAATGCCAAATAACTACATAAATTTTTTAATTAGCTATAAAATACACAAATTTGAAAATTTGTGCCATATTCCTACACCACATTAACACCGTTACTTAATTACGATTTCTAAAAAAACAGTCCACCTATTTGCCCAAGTCGATGCCATGTAGATTAAATTGCCACGTTGGAATTATAAATTGGTTTTGAAAATCAAAAAGAAAAAAATCTAGCTATCACTTTCATCGACTTGTATTTTGTATTAAAATACGAACTTGATTTATATGATGACTATAAACGAGTGAGAAACACATATTTCATAAAATAAAAAAATTTGTCTGAATGAATAAAACATCTATAGTACAAAATAATGAATAAAACATCCGTACTAATATCTGAATGACCAAAGCAAAGTAGATCCAAATACTCGAAAAAACTTTCAAGTAAAAGTGAAGAGATTATGCGTTTTGGTGGCGAGATGTCGGCATTGTATTAGCCTGCTGTGGAACTTGGAATGATCGACCGGTATACGGAGAAATGAAGTTGACTAGTCCAAATTGTTCAGCGGGTTGAGTGATTCCGATACTTAGATGTCGACGCCTTCGACGAATAAGAGTTGATTGCAATTGGCTAGATTGAGATGTTGTTGACGCAAACACACCTTGAGTTGGAGCATTAATTGAATTTGAAGTAGTTTGTTGTGATTGTTGTGTCTGTTGCGTTTGCGACGATTTTGACTTTATTCGCGATTGTACATTTCCGCCCAACTGTGATAAAAAAAAGATGTCAAGAAAAGCATAGTGCATATATTAAAGTTATCAGAAGGTCTCTACCGAATGTTTTCTTGGTCGTCCTCTGCTCCTCTTGGGTCCATGTGTTTGCACTGGTTCATTTTTACAACCTTTTGCATTGTGCCCGAGTTGCTTACATCGACTACATGTAAACAACCTCCCATGTCTTGACATTTTCCCCTTTTTTGATGGAGACTCATGGGGATCCTTTCAACGATGGTATTTGCTAGGTCGCCCAGGCATTCGTTTTTCAAGAGGGACACCGATCGGTGGTTTATGCAGTTTCTGCCACATTGGCTCTCCGTTGACAGGCATTAAGTTTTCCTGGTATGTTGCTTCCAATTTGATCTTCGAATAAAATTCGGAAACATATCTGTAAAAAAAATAGCATTATATACTAAAAAACAATACAAGAAAACACAAGGAAAAAAATTCTTACCGAGAGATATTTAGTTGTCTTTCGTTAATAACAGCAAGAGCATGTTGACAAGGCAAACCAGTTAAATCCCATCTCCGACAAGCGCACCGTTTTCCACTGAGATCAACACTATAACTGACTCCAAATTCCATTACTTCAAACAAGCCCCGTCCACTTGGGAATACAATACAATACTTTGTCTTCTCCCGAGCTTTTTCCAACTCAGTCACTGCTTTTGGACTGAATTCTTTCACCCATTTAGTAGATTCGACTGACCTCTTTGCAATTCGTTGCATTGTTTGTCGTCGAATATCTTCCAACATATCAATCATCGGCCTCCTCCTTGCATCTCGGATTGTTCGGTTAAAACTTTCAGATAGATTGTTATGGACGTCAGAGCATCGTGATTCTTCTTTGAAGAACGCACGAGCCCATTGCTCCGGTTTTTTTCGGATCAAGGCTTCATATGCCGCTGGATTTTTGGATTTTAGCTCATCCATGGCTGCTGTGAACTCACCTAGATGGAAACTACATGTTGCTTTCCAAAATAACAGCTTCATGTCGAGTTCTTTGTACACCTTTTTCCAGTTTGCATAAATGTGTCGAGCGCACATTCGATGATCAGCTAATGGAAGCTTGTGTTCGACTGCATTTATTAAACCCTGAAAAATCAAGAAACATATCAGAAACGTAATTCTGATTTCACAAAGTGTCGTCCTAAGTTATCCAAACTTTACCTTTTGTTTGTCTGAAAGTATCGTAATATGTTGTCCATCACCGAGACATAAGTCTACTTTCAACTTGCGAAGAAACCAACCCCAAGTGTCACTGTCCTCAATCCGAACTACAGCCCACGCAATAGGATAGATGCGATTATCTGCATCTCTGCCAACGGCAGCTAAGAGTTCACCTTTTAACTCCCATTTCAGAAAACATCCATCTAAACCTATAACCGGTCGACAATTATGCTTCCAAGACTCACGCAACATCTCAAAACACACATAAAAACAGTCAAACAGCTCCTCCCCATTTTCTCCCAACTTGGTTTGGATTTCTGTTGAAGTGTTGGGATTTGATCGACGTAATTCAGCCTCATAATCCCATAGCTTTGCAAACTGAGTTTTTTGATCTTCCATTACCATTCCCAACGCCTCTCGTCGTGCCTTGAAACATTTACTAATATTCACTGTTAACCCCCACTTGCGCTTAATGACATATTGCATATCAGCTGCAGAGAATGATGGTTTTCTTCTAAGTATGTCGGAGAAGAGTTTTGCAATGTGGCTCTTTGATAACATCGAAGCAGTTCCGGTAGGTTGGTGGGGATGATCAGGATTAAACACCTTAATCATCCATTTATTTTGGGATTTCTCGATAGAACAGTAAACCCTCCATCCACAGCCTTTATGAGAACAAACTGCTGCTAACTTATCATGCTCCCATCTTGACAATTTCACATCATATGTCGTATCTAAAACATATTGAAATAAAGCATCTTTGAAATCTTCTGCAGAAGTAAAGGTTGTACCTAGTAAGAGCAATTCATCTCCCTTAGGAATTACTCTTGATGTATGAACCTTTTTTCGTGGTCGATCAAATGCTTCCCACTCTTTATCTGTATGTTGCGGAGTCCCCGGACACACATTGTCATCATCGACAAATTCATCGTCACTTATATATTCTTCATTTGCTCTCCTATACTCATTCATCTCAACCTCCCTAAACAACTCAGCAATAGTCTCATCATCAATAATATTTGCATCTTCAACGCTGACAACATTTGAATCTTCTACCCTAACTCTGACGTCTTCATCCTCATTTTCAATTTCTTCTTCAACATTTAAATGCTCAGCAATATCACTAAACCTAAGGCTTCTAATTCCTATTCCCTCATTACCATCATAATTTCTAGGTTTTTCCTTCTCGACAGATGTTGGCTCTGACTCGTGGTCAAAGTAAATGTCTACTTCTCCCCCAGTGCTTGCTAGAGAACACATTTCTAGAATCTCATAATCCGCATCTGCTTGCACTTGTTTCTTTTCATCTAAACTTTGATGTGGTAACTTATACCACATCTCATATATAGGTGCACTTATTTTTCTAGATCTAACAAAGTCTTCAAACAAAAACCATGATAGGTAGTCTGGATCGAAACTAATCCCCTTTTCTACTATTCCACCAATATATGTGTAATGTCCATCAACGATATCCATAAATCCTCCCATGTAAAAATTAATCTTTATTTTCCTGCATTACAATAAAGATTTGTTCTAGTATTTTTTTTACTCATATGAACAACAACATAACTTGTTGGATCAAAATGACTTACCTCATTATACAATCTTCAAATAAACCTTCTGCAATTTAGCGACGAGCACAAAAAAATAGCAGTGACCACAACGAACTCGATGAAAAAGCACAACAAAATCAGCGAACACGGTGGACAAATCGACGAAGGCCACAGCAAAATCGTCAACGACAAGTCCTGGAAACCGACGAACTTCGCGGTGAAGAGCACTACTCTGTCTTCGATGACGATTTTTGGAGATGAAGAACAAACACAAAGGTTTTGTAGATTGTCAACGGAAAGAGATTTTTTTAATCTGGGAGTTTGAGTTGTTCTTATGCGATAACTAGGGTTTTTTTATTTTTGGGTTTTTTTTCAAAATAATTTACAAATTCTATTTTATCAATAGGTTTAATTCTTGGTTCATTTCAGTGAACCGATTTCGTCGAGGGTGCAATTTAAACTACGTGGCAAATAGGTGGACTATTTTTTTTCTTCTGAAATCGTTAATTAAGTAACGGTGTTAATGTGGTGTTAATGTGGTGTAGGAATTAGGGGTGGTCGTTTCGGGTTTCGGTTCGGTATTCAAGCGGTTCGGTTCGGAAACGGTATTTTCGGTTTTATAAAAAGTGTACCAAACTAGAACCGAATGTTAAACGGTTCGGTTTGGTTCGGTTTTAGTATCGGTTCGGTTCGGAACGGTACCATTATATGAATACCAAATAAGTAATATTCTACACATATATTAGTGGAATATTCGAATTTTGGTTCGGAATTCAAACGGTTCGGTTCGGGAACGGTTCATTCGGTTCCATAAAAAATGTACCAAATTAGAACCAAACGTTATTCGGTTCGGTTCGGTCCGGTTTGGTTTCGGGACGGATCGGATCGGTACTAAATTCCCGAACCGAAGTGCCCACCCCTAGTAGGAATATGGCACAAATTTTCAAATTTGTGTATTTTATAGCTAATTAAAAAATTCATGTAGTTATTTGGCATTTTTAGACAAATTGATGTATTTATTTGCCATTTTCCCTATTTTAAACTATAATCTTATCTTTTTAGATCAATGTGGAAGATCCAAAAATTATTGAAGCCCAGAAAGAGCCCAGTTTAATTTATATGGGCTTTCTCATCCGCGCGCATTTTTCTCAGATCCCGTTCTAGGACATACGTATCCCAGTTTCCAAACAACCCCTCATCTACGCCATTTTCCTTCGGCAACTAACTAAAACCCTAACAAACAAGAACCCTAACTCATTTTTCTTAGGATTGCCCCCATCGACAAAGTCTCCATCATGGCGTTATCCAAAGCCGTCTTCTTGACTCACCTCCGAACCCTAGCGAAACCCTACCGTCCCATTGTTCTGCCGCATGTTGTCGCCGTCCGGTGGTTCTCCTTTGCGACGCAGGAGGAGGCCGCCGCCGAACGCAGGCGCCGCAAGAGGCGTCTCCGCATGGAACCACCGAACGCGCTTAACCGGACCCATCAGCAGCCGCCGCCGCAGTCTCAAGCCCCGAGACCCATCCAAAACCCTAACGCACCCAAGTTGCCTGAGCCCGTGACGGCTCTCACGGGGAAGCGGCTCGAGCTTCACAACAAGATACTGAAGTTGATTCGGGAGAATGATCTGGAGGAAGCCGCTCTGTACACGCGTCACTCTGTGTACTCGAATTGCCGGCCGACGATTTACACGGTGAACGCGGTTTTGACGGCGCAACTCCGGCAATCGAAGTACTCTGAGCTTCTTTCGCTGCACCGCTTTATCAACCAAGCTGGTATTGCTCCTAATATCATCACCTACAACTTGCTTTTCCAGACTTATCTTGATGTTAGGAAAGTGGACATTGCTCTGGATCATTACAAACAGTTGATAAATGATGCGCCATTAAACCCTTCCGCTGCCACGTTTAGGATTCTGGTCAAAGGGTTAGTTGATAATGATAAGCTTGAGAAGGCTATTGAGCTCAAGGACGACATGGGTGTGAAGGGTTTTATTCCGGACCCCCTTCTTTATAGTTATCTGATGTTGGGTCATGTGAAGAATTCTGACCCTGATGGTATATTTAAACTTTACGAGGAGTTGAAGGAGAACCTTGGTGGTGTTATTGACGATGGTGAGGTTTACGGGCATTTGATGAAGGGGTATTTCATGAAAGGGATGGAGAAAGAGGCTATGGAGTGTTATGAGGAGGCTGTCGGGGAGGATTCAAAGGTAAAGATGAGTGCATTGGCTTATAACTATGTGCTGGATGCGTTGAATAAGAACGGGAGGTTGGATGAGGGCTTGAAGTTGTTTGAGAGGATGAAGAAGGAGCACAAACCCCCGAGGATTCTGGCATTGAACCTGGGAACTTTCAATGTCATGGTTGATGGGCTTTGTGCCGACGGAAAGTTTAATGAAGCTATCAAGGTATTCCGGGAAATGGGTGATTTTAGGTGTAGTCCGGATGCTTTATCTTTCAACAAACTGATTGATGAGTTGTGCAAGAACGGGATGTTGACTGAGGCCGAGGCATTGTATAATGAAATGGGCGAGAAAAGGGTGAATCCAGATGAGTACACTTATAGTGTACTAATGGATGCATGTCTGAAGGAAGACAGGACAGATGACGGAGCTGCCTTTTTCAAAAAGATGGTGGAGTCAGGACTTAGGCCAAACTCGTCAGTATATAACAGGCTGGTCGCTCACTTGGTTAATGCCGGGAAACTTGATGACGCAAAATGTATCTTTGATATGATGGTGAGCAAACTCAAGATGGACGACGAGGCTTACAAGTTCATCATGAGGGCGTTAAGCGAAGCTGGTAGGATCGACGACGTGCTGAAAATCGTGGATGGAATATTGGATGATGATATGGCCGAGTTCAGCGAGGAATTGCAAGAATGTGTGAAAGAAGAGCTCGGAAAAGAGGGAAGAGAGGAAGACCTGAAGAAGCTAATGGAGGACAAAGAGAGGCAGAAGGCAGAGGCAAAGGCGAGAGAGTTAGAGGCGGCTGAAGAGACCAAGAGGGCTGCGCGGATCAGCATAAATTCGCTGATTCGGCCAAAGCTGTTCGGTAAGGAAGAGAACAAGTCAGGAGATGCCGAGAAGAAAGAAGAGGGTGTGGAAGAAGCTGATGTGGTAGAAGGAGGTCAGGATTCATCGGCAGGAGCCGAGGTTAGGAGTGAAGCTGGCACTGGCAGTGTTACAGAACAGGCAACGGCTCATTAATTTCCTTGGTTTTGATAAGGAGCCTTCTATTTTATTTTATATAATATATATGCTTGTCTTTATTTGTAATTACTGAAAAAGGATGCGTCTTTATAACGCGATCTTTCTAATCAATCTTGGGTATTAGTTAGGTTTTTGGAATTTGGAATTCGCGATCGAGTCTTTTTATTATGGCTTGGCTTTTGGTACTTATTACAAAGTCATAGCAGATGCCATCGTAGCCGTTGACGTGAATGAAATTCAACACGAAATCATAATGTGTATATATATATATAAATTCTGTTTATAAAGCTGTAAAAATGATTATAAAACAAATGGTTCCATGGTCAAAATGTAGACGTGGAGGAAGAAAAGTCAATGTAACGGCAGTTCCCCACAGTATCCATTCCCGAACAGATTCATGAATAGGGGGTCTCAATCGGTTCGACACGGTCCGAGTTCGCATTCGGTCCGAAGATTTCGAATTTGAGTTTGGGTCGGATCGATTTTTTTGGGTCTATATAGTTAAGTCCGAAGCCCTATCCTATATACTCCGAGTCCAGGTCGGACCGACCTTTATAATTCCCTTTGAAAATCTTTTTTTTTAATATCGAGTTTTTGGATTAGTCCGATTCGAGTCCGAAATCCGATTCGAGTCTGGTCCGAAAGTCTGATTTTTTTCAGACTGAAAAAAATTAGGTCCAAAGTCTACTAATTTTCAGGTTAGACTGGATCGGTCTTCGGATCTCAGGTCTAAATTGATATCCTATAACTGCACTAAACACATGACGACTGTTCAATTATGTCTGGCTCCAATTCTATAGCAAATCTTCCATGTCAACATCAGTTCTATTATATATGTACGTGTTATATTATATTTCCCTCCAAAATGGATATATGGACCGATGATATTATTATTATTATTATTTTTGTTGTTGTTCTTTTTTTTCATGCATTATTGTTAGGGCAACAATTTTGGTGTGTTCTTACAATCGTCCCTAAACATGGAGCCGTGTCCTAAGCTGAACCCCAAACATACGAAACGCGTGCAGAAAAAAAAAAAGAGAAAAAAATCATATAGACGCAAAACGCAGCGTTTCGTGATCGTAATGGGCTTTTGGGGCTTGATATTTGATCATACCTGACAAATACAACCAATCATAACGAGCCACGTCATCAGTAAGCAAAAGATTCCTTGCTCCTCCCTCCTCATACATTAATACCTGCGCAGCCTAATCCCAATATCTTCTACCCAGCTTCGACTGAGAGAGAGAGAGGTAAGCTTCGCGATGATTGAATCAGTCATGGCCGCTCGCTTCCTCCCTGGATTCTGCTCTTCGCATACGCTGCTTCGTAATATCTCTCCCTCCCTCTGTGTTCCCCATTGTTTGTTTCCCGAGAAAACTGTGCTTCGATTCGGCGATTGAACGACTTTTAGTATCGTATTCGCGTTACAGTATTACGATTTCTGGCGTAGTTTCGGATTTTTTGTTCTAGACAATCGTATCTGTTTACTTTCAAGCGAGTTTATAGGCTCAAATTTATACTCCTTTCATTGAGCAAAGAACAAAATTCGGAATTTTCTCGTTGCATTGTCGAGAACTAAGCAGAACGGTTCGTTTACAAGCAGAGTATCGTCCTGTTCCGAGCGTGGAGGAGGGAGGGAGCTGCTTCCATGTTTCGTCTCGCCGCATTTCTCACTCTCACCGTGTCAACAACGTCGGGTACTGTACACGAATCTGTTTCTTCACAAGCGCAGTAATGATTTCAACTCTCATGCTAAAAGCAACCCCCCCCCCCCCCTTTTTTTTTTTTTTGTT